GATCACCTGAAGTCAGAAGTTAGAGACCAGCCTGGCCAACATGGTGAAACCCTGTCTCTACTAAAAACACAAAAATTAGCCAGGTGTGGTGGTGGGCACCTGTCATCCCAGCTACTCAAGAGGCTGAGGCACAAACATTGCTTGAACTTGGGAGGTGGGAAGGTTATAGTGAACTGAGATTGCACCACTGCACTCCAATCTGTATGATGAGAGCAAAACTCCATCTTCAAAAAAGAAAAAAAAAGACTACACTAGAAGCCAGGATACATCATGACCATGAGGGACCACCAGGACCACCCGCGCTGACCCACCCCACAGTCACACAATTGTTGAAGGGCCCGGTTGGGGTTGGAATCCAGGGCTGCCCCACGGACTTCACACAGCCTCTTCTAGGCACAGGGAGGTTCCAGCAGCAGCCTTCCCAATGGTGGAAAAGAACCCTGTTCAGGAAGCTCCCCATGGCAGTGCTGGCTTCTCTCTGCCCTCGTTATCTATTCTCTATCATCAATTTTAATCAGAATAGATGGCTGGGAGGATCGCCTGAGGCCAGGATTTCGAGACCAGCCTAGGCAGCAGAGTGAGATCCTGTCTCTACAAAAAAAAATTTTAAAAATCGGCCAGGCGTGGTGGCTCACATCTATAATCCCAGCACTTTGGGAGGCCAAGGAGGGTGGATCACGAGGTCAGGAGATCGAGAACATCCTGGCCAACATGGTGAAACCCGGTCTCTACTAAAAATACAAAAATTAGCTGAGCAGAGTGGCGCGCCTGTAGTCCCAGCTACTTGGGAGGCTGGGGCAGGAGAATCGCTTGAACCCAGGAGGCAGAGATTGCAGTGAGCTGAGATTGCGCCATCGCACTTCAGCCTGGCAACAGAGCGAGACTCCGTCTTAAACAAACAAAAAAATTAGCCAGACATGGTGGTGCACGCCCATAGTCCCAGCTACTTGCGAGGATCACTTGAGCCTGGGAGTTTGAGGCTGCAGTGAGCTACGATTACACCACTGTGCTTCAGCCTGGACGACAGAGCAAAACCCTGTCTCAAAAAAAAAAAAGAATAGACAGCACTTTTTTTTTTTTTTTGAAACAGAATCTCGCTGTCTCCCAGGCTTGAGTGCAGTGGCGCAGTCTCTGCTCAATGCAACCTCCACCTCCCAAGTTCAAGCAATTCTCGTGCCTCACCCGCCCGAGTAGCTGGGATTACAGGTGCATACTACCATGCCCGGCTAATTTTTGTATTTTTAGTAGAAATGGAGTTTCACCATATCAGTTGGGCTGGTTTTGAACTCCTGACCTCAGGTGATCCACCCATTTCGGTCTCCCAAAGTCCTGGGATTACAGGTGTAAGCCACAGCGCCCAGCCAACAATAGACACTTCTGTAGTATTGTTTTAAGAAGTTCATGCTTATCAATGAGGCCCAGAGAGGCTGAGTAATTTATCTGAGGCCACACAGCATTCAATCCCAGGACATCTGCATATGTGCTCTTCATTGGGGGCCACACAGGCTCCTGTTAATGGTGGTTGGTAACCACTGTCATGGACTGGGCTTCTAGTGCCCACCACCCACCACCACTTGCCTCCTCTGGGGCCCGGGCTGGGGCACTTACCGTGGCTGGCGAGGCACGGGTGGTGTGGGAGTAAGACTGGCTGGCACTGCCCAGCATGTAGCCACCTTGGATCACGTAGGTGCCTGCTCCGCTGCCGCCGCCTCCGGTGCTGCCACTGCCACCCCCGCCACCGCCTCCCCCGCTGCCGCCGCCACCACCACTGCCACCACCTCCGCTGCTGTTGCTGGCCCCAGCCCCAGTGCTGGTGGAGCTGGCGACGACCTGGCTGCCGGACACATACATGGGCATGGAGCCACTGCTGGCCACTGCCTGGGAGGTGGCAGGGGTGCTGACCTGGGCGGCCGTGCCCGCGGCCTCGTAGTAGCTGGTGCTTGCCGTCTGCGTGTACAGCGGCGTCTCGGGGTAGGGGTAGGTGCTGGAACGGCTAGGAAAGAGGTAAAGCCGGGGTAGAGTTAGGGGGATGAGAACTGGGGGGCCAAGGTGCATGACTAGGCAGGAAGGGGGGTACCAGGAGGGGACTGGGGAAGCAGCAGCCCCCCTGCAGCAAGGAGCAGATCCTAGCATTCACCTACAATGGACTGGGTACCATCCTGAGTGCCTGATGGGCAGTATTTCATATAATCATCAAAGCAGCCAGTCCTCTGGCATTGGAGTCACTTTCCCCACTACGGAAATTAGGAAATCAAGATAGAAGGGTAAGGGAACTCAGCCGGGCATGGTGGCTCCTGCCTGTAATCCCACCACTTTGGAAAGCAGAGGCAGGAGGATCGTTGAAGGCCAGGAGTTCAAGACTAGCCTGGGCCACATAGTGAAAACCCATTTCTACAAAAAATATAAAGATTAGCTAGGCGTGGTGGTGCACACCTGCAATCCCAGCTACTTGGGAGGCTGAGGCAGGAGGATCCCTTGAGGCCAGGAGTTCAAGGCTATAGTGAGCTATAACCATACTACCACTGCACCAAAGCCTGGGTGACAGTGACACCCTGGCTTTTTATTTTTGTTATCTTATTTATTTACTTATTGAGACAGAGTCTCTCTCTGTCACCGAGGCTAGAGTGCAGTGGCACAATCTTGGCTCACTGCAACCTCCGCCTCCTGGGTTCAAGTTATCCTCCCGCCTCGGCCTACCGAGGAGCTGGGAATACAGGGGCACACCACCACACCGGGTTAATTTTCGTATTTTTTTAGTAAATTTGGGGTTTCACCATGTTGCCCAGGCTGGTCTCGAACTCCTGACCTCAAGTGATAAGCCCGCCTCAGTCTCCCACAGCGCTGGAATTACAGGCATGAGCCACACGCCTGTAACCACACCTGGCTGACCCTGTCTTTTTAATTAAAAAAAAAAAAAAAACCTTAAGGGTTAGGGAACTTGCAATGCTACACACTTCATTAAAAAAATAAAATTGGCAAGTGCTTTGAGTGCCTACTGTGTGCTAGGCACTGTTTTACATACTTTGGACACAGCAATGGACAAGAATGAAAAGCCCCGGCCCCTGGAGGAGTTGACGGTCTAGTTGGGGAGACAGGCAAGAAGCCACGTGCAAAGGTAAATGAGAGATCATAACAGAAGGTGATCAGCCAGTGAGTGAAGCAGGAAGGGGGTGGGGCTAAAGAAGGCGACGCTGTGATTGGAGGAGACCATCAGGAATGCAGATATGTTTCCCCTGAGCCAAGCTACCTATCCCAGGCTGGGAAATCCTCTCTCCTTCAAGATATCCCGTGATGGGATGGGCACCGGTGACACAGGCTTGAGGCTGCAAATCGTCACAAGCATAAAAACCACCAGGGGTTCAACCTCAAGGGTCTGTTAAATAAAAGATGATGGAATCCTATGCAGGGGTGAAAGAGAAGGAGGCAGGGCTCGTCGTCCCTGGAAAGAACAAGCTCCAGAACCTACCACAGGGCAGATAAGAGGCAGAGAAGGGTGGGGACCGTGTGACCGAACAATAGGAAAGAATGCGTTGCATGTGGTATGCATGTCTGTCATCTGTGAGCGTGGAGGGCTCCATCAAGGGAGACAGGCGGGGGGCACCTCTCACCATCTCACTAAACATCATTGGACGTAGTTTTGATCTTTGAACTCTTTCAAAGTACTAGTGATTAAAAACATAGCATTAGGTCAGGTGCAGTGGCTCACACCTGTAATCCCAGCACTTTGGGAGGACGAGGCGGGTGGATCACTTGAGGTCAGGAGTTTGAGACCAGCCTGGCCAACATGGTGAGACCATCTCTACTAAAAATACAAAAATTAGCCAGGCATAGTGGCAGGCGCCTGTAGTCCCAGCTACTCAGGAGGCTGAGGCAGGAGGATCACTTGAACACAGGAGGCGGAGGGTGTAGTGAGCTGAGATCACACCACTGCATTCCAGCCTGGGTGACAGAG